GAACCTATACCAGTGGGGGGAAAGTGTTTATCTAGCTGGAACGATCTGTAGTAAGACATATCTGCTGCACTACTTTGGGGATGGGTTAGGGAATTCAAAGAAATACTTTTGGAGTGGATTGTGAGCTCATAGTGCTAGGGGTGGAAAGGACGTCTAAGGCCAGTTAGTTCTACCCCTCACTTTAAAGCCAGGGAGTTAAATAATTTGCCTCAAGTCAGGAGGCAGTTAAAGGTAAGAGAGAGGATTGCATCCTCCCAGGTGAGAGGCAATGTGGCGCTAGGAACAAAGAAGACAGGGAGACCTGGATTCAAGTTTCACCTCTGACATTTAGACAAGTCCCCTGACCCCCTATTTCTTTTTAAAAAATTTTCCCACTTAATAGTATTTTATTTTTTTCTCTAAGTAATTCTTTAAGACTCTTAAAAATTGCAGCTTTTCACCTCCCTGAGTGAAGTGAGCAGAACCAGGAGAACATTGTACACAGTAACAGCCATGTTGTGCAATGACTAACTTTGATAGACTTAGCTCTTCTCAGCAATGCAAGGGTCTAAGACATCTCCAAAAGTCTCATAATGGAAAATGCTATTCACATCCAGAGAAAGAACTATGGAGTTGGAATGCTGATCGAAGCATACTATTTGCTCTTTTACTATTTGCTCTTTTTTTTAACTCTTCTGTTCTGTTTCTTCTTTCTTGTGGTTCCTCCTATTGGTTCTAATTCTTCTTTACAACATGCCTAATGTGAAAATATGTTTAATAGGAATGTATATGTAGAGCCTATATCAGATTGCATGTTGTCTTGGGGAGGGAGTCAGGGAGGGGGAGAAAATTTAAAACTCAAAAGCTTATGGAAGTGAATGTTGAAAACTAAAAATAAATTTTTTAAAATTGCAGCTCTTCAAGATTGCAGAGAAGGTACCAACCTGTATTGGTAGAGGGATTTTCCTCACCTGAGAGTTCACAGTGAAAACAAAGGTCCAGTCCTAATTGTCTCATTCCATAGCCAGTGGTTTTTCCACCATATTGAGCACCCTTCATTTTACACATGAGGAAGCTAAGTCCAATATATGTTAAATGACTGACTACATAGGTAATAAGTAATAGAGCAAGAACTCAAATCCAGGTCCTCTAATTCTAAATCTAGGGTCCTTTCCATTGTACCATCTTCTTTTTACAACTACATAAAGAAAACAGTTAATGTTTTAACAGGATTTCAGAATAGAAGAGATATACCTCTCCCTTAGGAACAAAAGAATCTAGATTGTCAAGAGAAGTAATAATAATAATAATAATAATAATTAAATGGTAGGAATGAAGGAGGAATAGCACTTCCAGACCTCTAATTGCATCATAAAGTGGTAATCATCAAACCTTTTTGGCAAAAAGTTTTGGATAAAAGTTGGAAAAGTACATCAACAGAATGGGCTGAACAAGGAAAATCAGAAATAATGTGGGAATGCAATGACCCAGTATTCAATAAACCCCAAAACACAGATTACCTTGGAAAGAATTCTTTATGCCACAAGGATTACTGGGAAAACTGAAAAGCAGTCCAGGAGAAATTAGGCTTAGACTAACCTCTTACACCTTAAGCCACAATAAATTCAAAATGGGTATGTGACTTGAATGTTAAAGATCCTACCATAAAAAAATTTTAAAAGATTATATAGGGACAGCTAGGTGGCATAGTAGATAAAGGAGCCATCCTGGAGTCAGGAGGACCTGAGTTCAGACACGTACTAGCTGTGTGACCCTGGGCAAGTCACTTAATCCAGACTGCCTAAAAAAGAAAAAAAAAAAAACAGATTATATAGCTTTCACAGCTATTATTTGGGAGTGAAATCTTAACCAAACAAGGAATGGTTGACTACAAAAGACAAATTAGACAATTTTGATTGCATAAAATTGGAAAATTTTTGCCTGAACAAAATTAATGCAACCAGAATGAGATGGGAAGCAGTTGACTGGTGGGGTACAGGTGCAGGGGAATCTACATACCAAATATCTCAGATAAGTATTTGATATCCCAGTTATGTAGACAATTACAGAAACATAAGTCCAAAAAAGCTATTCCTCAGTAGATAAGTGGTCAAAGGAGATGAATATATATTTCTCAAAAGAAATGCAAACTATTATCAACCACACTTCACCCTAAAGGGGCATCAAGGTTTGAAAAGTCACAAAGATGGTGGTTGACATACCACTTCTTCTGGTTAGACAGGTATTTATAAATATTACTTTTTTCTTTTCTTTTTAAATTCTCTATTATGAGTGAGCATATTTTCTTTTAATGTTATTTTATTTGCTTTTCTTCCTCTAGATTGTCCTTCACTTCTATGTATTTGCATTCCCAATCTATTGTTCTCTCTTTTCTTTCTTTGGTGAGGCTTGCCATGAAAGATTCCAGTTTTTCTATTCTGCCCATTATTTTCACTGTACAGATCATAAATTCTGCTCTCATGATTCTCATTTCTCTTTTGAGCCACTCAGGAACAATATGTTGAGGTTCCATATTCTCCTCAAATTCCACAGGATCTTCTGTCTAATCAAGTGTTGGATCATTTTCCTTTGATTTGCAATATTTATTCATCGATGCCGGAACTCATTTGCTAGATCTGGAGACCATATTTCCTACTGCCATTACTGTTTTTGCTGCTGATTTATCTGTTTGTGTTCATGGTCTTTGAATTTTCTTCTTCCTAAAATCTTTAAGTTCAGTCTCTGCCCCTCTCCCTCCTTATTCTATCCCCCACTTTTTGACTCCATCCCCTCTGTGGTTTTCTTGGAGGTTGGATCTCACAACATCTCAGTTTCCTCCCATGAAGGGCAGTTCACAGTTCACCAGCCTAGGTCTCTATCCCAACTGACTTTGGAGTGGTCAGTACCAGCCCAGCTAGATGCTGTGCTCCTTCTTTCATCCTTGGTTGAGTATTGCACCCGCTCCCCCCATGTACACGGAGTGTCTTGTCATAATGTCCTGTCCTGTTCTCTCTGTTCCTTAGTTCTTTGCCTCAGCAGTTCAGATGTTGCAGTATTGGTGCTACAGGGTTGTTGCCTCCAGTAGGCTTTTATTCCTGAAAGGCTATGGCTGCCTCACTGTCATGTTGAAGCTAGGGTAAATTTCTGCAGCCTAGAACTGGGGCCTCTATGGTACAGGAAAGAGAGAGGAGGGACCAGTGTGTAGAAGTGGGTTGTTATGGTTGCACATGTATAACCTATATCAGATTGCTTGCCGTCTTAGGGAAGGAGGAGGGGAGGGATGGAGAAAAATTTGGAACTCAGAATCTTATAAAAAATAGTGGTTGCTAGGTGGTGCAATGGATAGAACACCAGCCCTGAAGTCAGGAAGACCTGAGTTCAAATCCGGCCTCAGACCAAACATTTGACACTTACTAGCTGTGTGACCCTGGGCAAGTCACTTAACCCCGATTGCCTAAAAATAAAAAATAAATGGATGTTGAAAGCTATCTTTACATGCAATTGGAAAAAAAATACTATTTTTAAAAAAAGGGGAAAAAAAAGTGGGTTGTTACAACATTATGTCCTTGGGTCTGATGGTGCAGCCTCCATGCTTGGTAAGGAGGTGGGGGAGTCTAAGGTGCTGAGGTCAACTCAAGGTCATGGGTTTGGGTTGTTGGTGTTGTTAACTTTTTTATTCTGGATGTCCTAGACCATGGAGACAGCAGAAGGTTGGTTTTTTTTAATCTTTGTTGCATAATTTGTTTTAGAGACAATTGGAGATTTGAGTGGCCGTGGAAATCAATGAAAATATCTAGTCCTCCATTTTGTTGCTCATATGATCTAGAAGTTCTCTAAGACATGGTTTTCTCTTAGAGAGAGTGAGGGGTGAGAGAGGGATACTGTGGTCAATATTGGAGATGTAAAAATAAAAGATACATTCCTCCCTCATTTTACAGCAGAAGAAGTATTGTACATTGTATAGAGGTTTACTGTTTGCAGGCAGGTCACAGTGGCCTACAAGGCCACTTCTAACTCTTCTGTTCTGTGATTCCACAAAACTGAAGCCTAAGGTCACACAGTTGCAGAGTCTGAATGGGTTGTATCAGTGATCTACTTTGTCAAATGGGCAGATAGATGATGCAGTGGCTAGAGTAGAGGGGCTGGAATAAAGAAAATTTGAGTTCAAATCCAGCCTCAAACACTTACTAGCTGTGTGACCCTGGGCAAGTCACTTCACCCCGTTTGCCTCAGTTTCCTCATCTGTAAAATGAATTGTAGAAGGAAATGGCAAACCACTCCAGTATCTTTGCCAAGAAAACCCCAAACGGGGTCACTAAGAATCAAATACGACTGAACGACAACAACAAAAACATTGTCAAAGTCATCTTGGACAGAGGTGTCAGACGCAGCTCAAATCAGATTAAAACATTAATTGGAAAATACTGACCAAAATAAATAAAAATACAACGAAACATGGATAATATTACATTTAAAAACTAAGTCAATATATGGCCTGCAAGGATCCTTATGGAAAGATCAGTGGTCCAGTTTCTATCTGAATTTGACACCATTGATCTGGATAAGTCAAGTCGAGGTGAAAAGATTTATCAACTCTTTTGCCTGGAAAATCTAGGGACAATCCAGAGAGAACCAGAGAAAGGCAACGCCCACAACCGCTGAGAAACTGGAAAAACTCAGGACCAGAGCAAGAAGGGTTTATTGCAAACTTTAATCATTTAAGGCTGCTAGGAGTAAAGACGTGGGATCTCAGGGAGTGGCTGGCCAAAAAGGGAGTTTAGGCCAGAAGGACCCCATCGAGGCCCTGGGGATCCAAATTCCCTTCAGTACAGCAGATGCCCTTTATAAAGAAAAGAACTATTCCTTAAACCCAAGGGCAGTGTCCCCACAGGCCAAACAGAACCTGGCTGTAATGATCTGCATAATCTACACCCAGAGGCAATTATCCAGGTAACCTACCCCTCTTCTTCCCCTTCCCCCAGCCTCCTCACTCCTTCCCCTCCCCCACCCCAACCCATAGCTTTATCCTGATTTGGCCCTAATGACGTGGACTTATCATGTTGTGAACAGTTTTATTTTTAAGGGGATGGGTAGGAGGGTAAGTGCTTAATAAATACTTGTTAAATTATCTGGATAATTAGTCCCATTCTGCACTTGAAATGTGTAGACACATACCTGGGAGGGAGGGGGGTTTATGGAGGCAGTGAATCAATTATCGAGTTGTTAGGCCTACACAGTTTAAACTCTTTAACTGTGTTTCTTGGGGGCTGTGCAGACCTGGCATAATGATCAAGATAATCTGACCCTGAATTCCTCCCCCTGCCCCAAGAACCTGCTTCCCATTCCCGTGAAGTCTTCAGAGCATGGAGGCTAACAATGTGTTTCTTGTCATTTTTAGGATCAAGAGCCTTAGGTACTTCCCTCTCCCCCATCTCACTGCCAAAGGCAGGGCAAACACAAATGGCAAAGGGGTTGGAGGGTATTTACTGAGTATGTCTGCCTGGCTTTACTCCCACATGTTTGGGGTTGCAGAAGTCCTTCCAAAGGGAAAATGGGCCAGACAGGTGACTGGCCTTTGGTCATATGATTAGGCTGGGGGAGGCAAGGAGGAGCCTGGAGAAGGGAGCCCAGCTCTGCCCCAATGACATTCCCGAGGATTTCCTCCCTCCCCCCACCCACCACATCATAAGCCACCATGCTGGCTTCTCTCCTAGGCATTTGTTTGTCCATTTGGAAGGAACTGACCCACCCCAACTGCAGAGGGAAGGGGGGACAGTGTTCAGCTTCAGGTCTGTTTGGGGAGGGGGGCAGTTGTGTGGTGAGGGTGAGTCAAAATGTGTCCATTTTCACTCCAAATCTCCCTCTCTCCTCCAGCTCTTTTTCTCCCCTAAAACCTATCTGGAGCTATTTTCCTCCAAGGACCAGGAGAAGAACGGGGTGAGCTAGGTCCAGAGCCACATGGGAGGCATGAAGTGCCCACCCCTTCTCAGACTCACATCATCTGGGGTGCTGCCAGGGCATCTTGGGGATGCTGCTGCTGGTACCAGGTCCCAAAGTTGCTGACATAGCCCCCAGTAGGTAATGTCCTGGGTCTGGGTATATCCCACAGTGAGGGGAGGGGTGGGGACAGAGCTGGGAGGGCCCCCAGAAGCTCCCCTTCTTGACTGCTGGACCCCTGCTTCATGATCTTCTTATATTTTGAACGTTTGTTCTGAAACCAGATCTTCACCTATTGGGTAAAAGGAGAAGAAATGAGTCAAGAAGGAGGGATCTCCTAAGTCCTTCCTATGTCCCCAAAGATTGGACTTTGTTCAGAGTGGGTGGAGTGGGATTGGAACCCTTCCCATGCCAGGCTAAATCCATTCAATTCAATTCAATTCAACTCAACCAACAAACATTAATTGACTACTATGCCAATATATGAAAAGCAGCCTGGTATAATGAATAGAATTCTAGACTTGGAGTAGGAGAAAGCTGGGTTCAAATCCACACTGTGACCTTATTAACTGTATAACCATGGAGCAAGTTACTTAACCTTTCAGAGCTTCAGCTAACTCTAAAACGATATATTTTAGACAGCTTTGTGATGCACCTTAGCAGAAGGAGTTTCAACACTGAAGGACTCTAAGTTCCTTCACCTAAAGTGGAAAACACAGTGTTATGGGCTGGGGAAAAGAAAATTAGACAAAGTCCCTACCCTCCAAAAGTTTGAGATCTAGGATACTTATGGAAATTAACATAATAAAAATGTTCAATGGTGTGACAAACAGGTCCAAAGAAAAAAACTAGGCAAAATTAGTCGAGGGAGAGATTATTTCCAGCTTGGGGGAAGAGAGTGGATCAGGAAGGCTTCATAGAAGACATGGTACCTAAAATGACCCCAGAAAGAAGGGAAGGGTTTTAATCAGTGGAGATGGGGTTGGTGGAAGGAGTTCTCCTAACTGTCCCATGGACCTATCTTATGCATACAGCAATCTTTCTGTATGCTTTTCCCCTATCCAGAAATGCCTTCCTTTCTTGTCTGTGTAGCCACTCTTCAATACCATCCCATGGCCACTGTCCTGAACCTAAAAGGATCTACCCTTCTCCTGAGGCCCTATGGTATTTATTGTATGTAGTCATCTTTTGGAATTTATCACATACTACCTGGTAAGGTGAAGCTCTGTTCTTACAGGTGTGTGTCTTATCTTTCCTGCTAGACTATAAACAAGCTCTCTGAGAGCAGAATGATCACATTACAGTTGCATCTTCCCAATACCAGCACAGAATCTATACTCAATAAATGTTGATTATTTGACTAGCAGTCTCTCTTTAACTGTGTTTCTCTTTTTTGTTGTTTGTTTTGTTTTGTTTTGCTTTGTTTTGGTCAGGGATGTTTGGTGGGGGGGAGGGGGACTAGGGGTGGCCTAACCAGTGGTCAGCTGCTCCAGTAGTTTGATTTCAGGGACTCCAGAAAGATCTCTCCCCTTCGGCTTCCCAAGGAAGCTCCAAATTCTGCCATCAGGAGTCCGTGGTTCAGGTTTTGTCTGGCTACTTAAAATGCAAATAACCAGGGTTTCATCACTCATTAAGTCTTGTCATTTATAACTCTGTGTGAATGAGTTTATCAGATCTTTGAGTCAGTGCCAAGGCTAGTGGGGAGAAGTGCCCTGAAACGGGAAGGAGTACAGAGATGGAGGAGAAGGCTGGGCCACATTCAGGGTGCTGAAGGGGGAGGGGGAAGCAGGCTAAAGATAAACTTTGCTTAATGCCCTTTGCCTCCTCATTCCACTCCCTCTTCAAATCCAATTACTTCCTCTGGGGCTGCATGGAGAACAGAGGAAAGGCAGGGTGGTCTAGGTGGGGCCCCTTCCTCCCCACTCCCCACCCCCAGGGCATCTGGCCCCCACCTGAGTCTGAGTTAGGCCTAGCTGGGCAGCTAGCTGAGCCCTCTCTGGAAGGGCCAGGTACTGTGTGTGCTGGAAACGCTGGTTCAGATGTTGAAGCTGGAGGCTGGAATAAATGGTTCTGAGCTTTCGGAGCTTCTTGATCCTGCCATTCAGCTGGAGTCCCTCTGGCTAGGGTAACCCAAGTGGCTTCTCCAGTTCTGATGATGGGAGAGCAGTAAGAAAGGGAATATTGGTTTCCCAGTACCAGTCATGCAGATGCCTCACTCTTTGGGGCCTAAACGTGTCTCTTGGCAGGAAGTTCTCAGAATAGCTGAAGGCAGACATTAGGACTCCCAGGGTTCTCCCCCTATGTCCTTAAAGTACCTATTCTTCTCCCAGTCTTTGTTCCTCCCCTGCTGTCCCCTAATTCCAATCAATCCCCTCAATTTCATAGAAGTGGGTTTATCTGGAGCTACCAGAAAAACCAATCCCTAATGCAATCCCTACCCCAAACTCTTGAAAATGAGAAGGCATGTGAAGAGGTGTGAAAGAAGTCACAAGTCCTAACCTATAGCAAGACTGCTTCTATCTAGCCTGGGGCCTCTGTAATTTCACCATTCACCAGAGCAGATTAGGTATTTATTTTCCTCACTCCAGCAGCAGAGGCTCTCCTGGGATTGAGTCTCTGGGAAAGACTGCCCCGGCCTTCATCCCAGCCCCATCCTTTCCTCTATGGGCCTCAAATTCCAGAGACAGAAAAGGGTGGGGGGAATAGATTCCACAGAACCACAGTTTGTCAGAACTGAAAGGGGGGAGTGGGCTTGAGAGATTCCACAAGAACCACATTTTATCAGAACTAGAAGAGACTTTAGAGTCTAATACCTCTCATTTTACTGAAAAAGAAACTGAGGCTCAGTGGGAAGGAAGGGATTTGACCCAGGACTTCTCCCATCTTGCAAAGCTTGCCTGCCTGGGTTCACACTCTGAAAGATTAACTTTCTCGCAATCCAAGCTGTCATTCCTATCCCCAGCTCCCCCACCCCACCCCCGAAAAAAACCACTTCCAAAAAAAAAAAAAAAATGAGACAGTGTACCAGAGATGGGTTTGATTTGGGGAGAGCTGGATTGCAGGTTGGAGTTTTATACCTTCTACAGATGAGCCAGCTTCTTACGACTTTGGCCACCAGGTTTATTTAGTGTTTTTACTATTGGAAGGAAACCAGTCTCTTAAGGGTGCATCACCAAGATCTTCCTTAATCCATTGCTAGTGCTAGGTAAGCTGCTGACCATTTGTGGGACAGGTCCATGGTGGGTGGCTCTGGGGTACTTTTGTTTTGCACTGTGCAGAGCAGGGGCTGGGAGCCCCAACTCACCCATAACTACGCCATAGGAACAACAAAACCCAACCCATTTGGGCCCCCTTCCTTGGTCTAGCCCTGGGTGAGGCAGCTCCTCAGTCCACAGGGTCACTGTGGCCAGTTTATCTTGGGAAGTGAGCAAAACAAAACAACCCCCGTGTTTTCAAGAGACTTCTCTTCCCCTCTTCCATTCCATTTCTCCATTACCCATTATTAAGGGCCTGGAAGGTCCCCTCCCTAAACACCCAAACCCCAAAGCTCTTTGTAAACCTTAAAGTACCATGTAAATTATATTATGTCTGCTCTTGTTATTCTGCCCTTTGTGTGTTCTCATTTGTATGGGTTTCTTCTTTGAATATGTGTTATCTGCATTTATCAAGGAGTCTGTGTGTGCAGCACTTGTCTATTTGTGCGTCTTTGTGTGGCAACATCTGTTTGGGTGTCTCAGTATCTGACCTGGTGTTTTTCTACGTGTGTCAGGAGGATAACTGTGTATCTGTGTATATTTCACTGTGTGGTCTCTGAATGAGTCCAGTGAAACATTGCCATCCTGGTTTACATCTGCTCCTCTCCCCAACCCTGAGAGACTGATTTCCTGACTAGGCTGCCTGCCCTCCACCCAAACATTACCAACCACAGCAGAGGGTGCTTCATTCTCTTAGTAGCTCCTCTTTACTGCTCAGAAAAGCTTTCACCCCAAATTTCCAGAAAAAAATTATTTTATTTTCCTTTCCTCTCCCAACACAGCTTCCTATATTCCATAATGTCTACATGGTCCAGGGCAAACAGTAGAGCAACAATCCAATCTGAACCACCTGTGCAGTTATGATTTCTCTGAGTATAATGGGAGCACAGGGGGTAAAGAGTTAAAGAGACAGAGACAGAAAGACAGAGAGAGAGACAGAGCTGGTCTAAGCATTTTCCTCAGAGCCCATGATCCCAAGAATATGCAGCCAATATTAGCTCCTACTCTGTCCTTTCCTCTCTCACTTCTCACTGTCTATACCAGGCTCCCAATGATTCTCTGGTCCCAGAGGCAAACCCTGAAAATGACAAGTTAGTTCAGCCCCAGTGACTGCAAACAATCACTGAGCTTCATTTTAAAGGTCGGCTTCCCTTTGTTGGAGGAGCTACCTCCTAAAAAGCCGCCCTAAAGACCCTAGACGACTCTCCTTGAATTACATCTTGTCGCTACAGCTCCAAATAGCAAAAGGCAAACCCCTTCTCATAGTCCCGACTACTGCCTTTCCAAGGCGAAGAGGCCACAAAACCACTGTTGAAGAGGCAGACCTCGGAAAGGGGGTGCTACAGATAGCACCTACCCCAAGGAAAGGGAATACCAAACACCCAGTTTCCAGAGCAGGGGGTCTGGGTTCCCGGAGAAGTGAAGACAGGAGGCTAGTGAGAAGGAGGCAAGGGAGGGAGTGAGGAAAGGATAAGAGCCTTAGTCAGAAATGTTTCTTCGTTGGACCCGGGAGAGAAAAGAGAGCAAGAAAAATCCAACATCTTTTCTGATTTTCATTCTGTCCTTTCCCAGAGACCAGGGATCATAAAGCTAGTAGAAAACATCAACAGAACAAGTCTACAGAGGCACAAACCCACACCAGTTTTCTTTTTCCAAGGAGGGGGAAAAAATAAAAACAACCACCACAAAACCATAACATACCTTTGCTCCAAACAGTAGAGATGATGGAGAAAAGGTATCATGATTCCGGAGGAATTGAGATTCCTGCCTTCCTTTCCTTCAAACATCACCCTAACTCTAGGATAGGGGAGATGGTAGCCAGATCTTTTCAGGGAAGATGGTAACTGTTGTGTACGAACCACTGGGCCAGGGAGAAAGAATTCTCAAAAACTGGAGACTGAAAGAATGGGTGACATAACACCCAGGGTGGAGACCAGAGCCTCTTGGAGACAGGAGAGAATGCCCCACATCCAGGGGAAACACTGACTTGAATAGAAAATCAAAAGGCGTGGATCCTGCCACTAACTTTATATTGTGATCTTTAAAAAGTTGCTTGCTTATGGGTGTGTTTCCTCCTCAATCTACTGTGAGGGGGTTGGACCAGATGATGAGGGAAGGGGGCTCCCATCACTGACATTTTACTGCTCTTAAGTATTTTTATTGAGCCCTATGAGGAAAGACTGGACAGGGAAATCCTGCTGTGACTGTGTGAAGGATGGTGACTTGGTATGTCACTGAAGGAGAGTGTCACAGTATAGAAAGCTGGGAGATAGTGAGTCTAGGATAGACTGAATGGAGGAGATTACTGAGGGTGTGTGTAACATTGTGAGAGTATAATTGTGGGAGCAATTAGGTACAATTAGGCTAACTCCTGTGAAGGTGATGTGGGGTATTAACTGTGCAACCAGGTGCATTTACAGGGCACAGGGTATATGTGAGATGGTGAGCAAATAGTATGAACTGTGTATAGATTATACAAGTCTGTGTAACTTCGAGGGAGTTGGGACAATACTTCTCTGTGCATGCAATTATATAAGGTCGTGTGAGCGTTGAAGTGAGATGGCCTATACTTACTTGCTCTGAGAGTCCCCCCCCCAAATCTTTACTAAGGATGATGGCCCCTCCAATTCATCCGAGCCTCCAATGTTTTATTTGTGGTGTTTGTCCAGTGTACTCTGTACCCCTTTCCCCAACAAGGGATTGATTGATTCACAGACCAGCGCGGCTGCTGCTGGGCTCTACAAAGTCGGGAGAGAGCCAAGAAAATCCAGCATGAGTTTTTTTGCCCGTTGTTTTGGGAAAGACATAACTCTCACCCAAAGACCTTAAAAGACAGGTATACAGACATGGGCCAGGGCCCAAAGGGTCAGAGATATGGAAATAAGTTGGAGGGGGGAGGAAAAAAGATCTCTATTCGCAGACCTTCTGGTTCTTTAATCGTCAAAGCCTCAGCTGTGTCGAAGTCTCTCCCACTTAACTTTCCTCATAGGAAAATGGATTCTCTTGTCTTTTTTTGGTTAAACTCGATGGAACTTGGTGGATGGTGGGGGTGGGTAAAGAATGTCCCAAATGATCCCCCTCTCCACCCCATAAATAATCAGCCCGCTGGCCAGGGTGTGATTTCTCTTAATACGGGATTAGTATAAGAACCGCTTGGAAAGACAGTTGCTCCCGGTGTTGGAAGGAGAGGGCGATTCTTTTCTTGGGGAGCTTGGGGAGTTCTGGATGATGGTAATACAAGCATCCCCGCTCCCCACTTTCCCCCAAGTATACATCTGGATTGTTTCAATTTTCTCTTTACACGTAGGAACACATACATGCCCTGTTGTGTGAATTTGGGGGTGGGGGGGGACGAGCGGGGAGGGAACGGGCCGAAAGCCGGGTCGAACTTGAAAGGAGAAGGGGATCAACCCGCCAACTCCTCACCCTACTTCCGCCCCAATCCTTTCTTCCTCCCTCCTTCTCTCCCTCTCCCCAACCCCTAGATTGACTCGAATACAAGTAAGATTTCAATCCCGCTATCTGCGCCCAACCGTTGGAGGACGAGGTAATGGGTGAAAAGCTGGTACCCGGGATTCGCCAGAAACGGGGAAACTGTTGTCGCATAACCCACTCCCCCGGCGCTTCCGCCTTACCTGCCACAGCCTGCAGACTCACTGCAGGGCCACGCAGATGCAGCGAGGCGGTCCCGGGCTGCTGGTAAGGCAGGTGGGGGCCGCTGGGGGCTGCGGGGCTGACATAAGGGTAACCTACCGCGCAGCCGTACGACTGCGGAGCTCCCGAGTAGGGCCCCTCGGGGGGCTCAGGAGGCGAGGGCTGCAGACCGCGGGGGTACGGGGAAAGGGAGTGTGGGGGCGGAGGGGCAGGAGGGAAGTCCTGGAAGGAGGCTTTGGAGGCATCGGGTCCCAGGAGGGTGGTGGGCAAAGCGGTCATGGTTACAGTGGCCCTGGGCCTAAAGGTTCCTGGCACCTGGACCCATGGCCTGGCCAACACCTCCCTCCACCTCCGTCTACCCGTGCCTCCTGCCACTCTCCCTTCCCCAAGCCCAGTACACCGGGTTCCGATGAGCCTCCCCCCCACCCCCGAACTTAAAATCTCGGGGAAAGTCTCTCCCCACGCCACCTCCCGCAGAGAGCGCGAGCCGGGGGGAGGGGGTGGGAGAGGAGCCGAGGCCCCCACCCCCCAGTTTCTCCCTCCCCCCACCCCAGTTCGTCAAGCCCCCTCCCTTTCCCTCTACTTCTCCACAGGACAAGATTCTCGGGGCCCGGGGGGGGGCACCCACCCTGCGTCCTGGATTGGCTAAAATGCTCAGAGACGTCACTGAGCCCCCTCCCGACCACGCCCCCCCAGCAACTCTTCGGAGTAATTCACCTCGGGAAAGTTGTAAGGTGGGGTCTGTGTACCGGATCCAGGGTATCAATGGAGAGGGAGATGCGGTATGAACACTAAATTCCCCTGGGACATGGGGGAACCCAGGACTCCGGGAAGGCAAAGGCTCCTCACCCGGGGAAGGTAGTTTGTAACCCGAGTAGCCGAGTGAGGAAGGGACTGTGTTAATCGGCTCTGAATCGCAGTTGGGCAGAGGCAGTTGAGAGAAAGGTCCAGGGGTAGGGAGCCAGTTAGGCAGGTGCAGGGGTTTGCGCAGCTGGCCCACACTGGCACTTTGCTCCTGGACCCGGCCTGGTTATTGTTTCTCCTGGGCACAAGGGATGCAGGGCTCGGAGCCCTTCTCGTCCCCCAGCAAAAAACAAAATGTTCCGAAACCAGCAAACATTCCCGCCCCCGCACTCTCATCCCCTCACCCCATTTGCCACTCTGCCTCCAGGCCCAGGTCCCGGCCCGGGCCTACCCTGCCCCAGCTGGACGGAGTGGGGCCGGCCAGGCGGCTGCAGGCTTGGGAGGCAGGGCAGCAGGTTCAGCTCGTCGGAATGTGGAGCTGTGCAGCGGCGAACCGTGCTTAATGAGATTGTTGGTAAACAGATCCCGGGCCGGAGGGAGGTCGCTTGCAGCCGCGAGTTAGGAACGGAAATCAGCGCCCAGCCAGCTCGGCTCACGTGTTTCGAATACACACCCCCTTCTACACACGCAAGCATAAGCACCCAGAGCACCTGCCAGGGAATACACGCGCTGTGCCTTGAGTCTTCAGCCTGGGTCCCAGAGAAGTCTGCGCCTCTTGTCCCTCCCAGAATTCGTTGTTCTCCTGGCTTTCTGGTGGGACAACTTTGAGGCCAGGGGAAAGAGTAAAAATTAGGGGTGCGGGCAGGCTCCAGCACACAGCTCCCCCTCCCCGAGTCAGACTTTCAAAGTGGCTCCTTCTCAGTGGCCTTCTCCCCTTTCCCCTCAGGCCCAAAGCCCTGAGCATGAACCCTCAGGCGACCAAATCACTGACCTAAGAGAGTTTGGGGGTGATGGACAGATATAAGTGGAGGCCTTAATGTCTTCTAGAAATTCCCAGAAATACATCTGATTGCGTCAGTAAGACCGTAGAAGTTCAAAAATCAGGGTTTTCCCTTGCTTCCTAAGAGACAGAATTTGAGCACCGTAAACACAAGTAAACAAATGTGCTCACAATCATAATTGCTTTTAAACACATAAAAATAAGTGCACAATCCAAGTATTCTACAGTGAACAGACTCACTTGTGTAGCATTCACATAATAATGGATACCTGTATCAGAGACATTCATCCGTTGTCTCAGTAACTGCTACTGGACTGGTATTAGCTGCATTTTCTTGAAATCACATGGTTAAAGTTTGTTGGTTTTTTAAAATTATGGGTGTGTCTGTAAGTATATTTATATATACCTATGTACATATGCATATAAATATATGGTCTTTGTAACATTACTTGTGTTCCATATTGTTAAAATGGAGGTTGAGTGATCACTTCTAGGGGATGCATGGAGAATATTTCTACATGGGTTGAGGGCTTGAATTAAATGATCTTGGAGGTCTCTTCCCCCCACCTCTTAGATTCTATGTTTCAAGAACAAGGGGCTGCCCAGTGAAGCTTCCACAAGATTTTGCCTTTATTGAGGATCAGATTGTGTCTGCAACTAATGGTCCGGCTGCCATTGGCTGTTGAGCCCAGGAATAAAAGTAAAGCCCTGTGCTACTTAAATACGGCACCTTTCAGAAGCCACATTTCTCCTAACCATTGCTTTAGGGGCACGGGGTGGTGGAGACTGTTTCTGTCTGAGAATCGGAAGACCTGGGTTTGATTTAAGTTCACCATTAGCTCTCTGCTTGGGAAAGTCAAATTAAAGTGATCTCTAAGCACTGTACGGTGCTTTGACCCTCTGTGGAAACAGAGAATTCTAGATACCTTGTGGCTCATCCCCTAACAAAACAGGAGACTATCTGCTTACTGTACCTACATATTTGGGACTGTGATCAAGAACACTTTTCATGCCCATATATCTTCAAAGAGTCTGAGCAAGGGGAGTGCCCACCTCGTGAGGACTGGTAAAAGGAATGAGAGCATCCCTGACTGGCTTTAAGCATAGGAAGAAATAGCATCATCTAGGGCTGGGATAAAGGACAGAGAGAAAAATGGTTGAAGGAACAGGAGGAAAATAAGAAGGCTGTCCTGTCAACCTCAGGTGTTGAGTTGTATGGAGGTGTGGCACGGAAAAAAAAGAGGTTAAGTTAGTTCCCAGCCGAGGGCCCTGTACCTTTAAGAGCAGCAAACCTGGCTGAAACTGGACACCTACTAAGCCAGAGGGATAGAAACTAGTTTTCCAAGAAAGAAAACTCAGAGCCCAGACCAGGGCAAATGGAAAACCAGATCCCTAGGGGCTTTGAGGTTTGGGATGCTTCTCTACTGGAGGGGGAGAAGGGTTAACTTCTTGGGGCTACCTGAAAATCCCATTCCTATGGCAATTTTGAATTCAGAAAAGCTTTTTATTTTTGGGAATTCTCCCTCTGATCACACTCCCAGTGCCTGGCCCTTCTTTCAGGCACAGTTCAATTCTCTAAGCAAAGACGACACAATCACCCTAAAGTTTTTGTCTGCTGACAAGCCCTAGTCACTCTCCAATCCTTCTCCCTACTTTTCTTCATCTATGACCTGCTCTGCCCCAAGTGGCTTGAATTGGGGGGGGGGGCACTGGGATTCTAAGTATGTCCCAGACCCACTGTAGTACCCCAGACTCGGGGATAGGGGATGAGTGGGAAGAGTTTTAGGTTCCGGTCCCCTGCACCTGAAAGGGCAGCTTGAGTTCAGCACCTCCATTCTCTTGTCTCTGCCATTTCTTCCAGTTGGCAGTTCATTTCAACAAATTTTGGAACTTAATTTTATTTTCCTCTTTTCCTACAAAAAATTGTCTTTTGTTATGTTAATTAATTTCTGAATATGTCCTTCCTTTTCAATAAACCATCTCCTGAAACAAAAACTGAAAAGGAAACAAAAAAACCTCCAAAAAACCAGTGAACATAGTAACCATGTCTAACAATACACACAATGTTCTGCACTTCATAGTCCCCCACCACCTCTCTCCTGCTAGATTGTAAGCATCTGGAAGACAATCTCAGTATCAGGTTAGATTTGTATCCTCAGCAAGTCCCTTGCTCATGGTAGGCATTTAAGAAATCTTCATTGAATTGAATTGAATTTGATACATTGAGATCTCAGCACATTCCCCGTTTAGAAACATAATCTTTATCAAACAGACCAGGTGGGAGAGGTAGAAGGCTGAATATGGAGGCTATAGAATCATAGCATTTCCAATTAGAAGGAACCTTAGAGACACATGACTTACTCCAACTCTCCCATTTTGCAAGTGAAGAAATTGAGGGACAGGAAGAGTGAATGACTTTGCAAGGTCTCCAAAGGTAGCTTAATGACCCAGCCAGGACTAGAATCTAGAACTGATTCCCACTCCAACGCTTCCTACTTCCTCTCTCCCTGCCCATAACCAGGAAATTCTTGTCTGCTTATCCTCACTTCTTACCTTGCTGGGACCTGGAAGATAACAATAATCAGGGGTTCTCACCAATGAAAAAGACAGGACACATAGAAACAAATTGAGACATGAGTTCTGATTTTGCCACTACTTACTTACTACTTGTGTGACTTTGAAAAAGTCATTTATCCTCCTTAATTATGTATGTTGTCTTACCTTCCCGCTCTATGCCTAGCGTAGGAAACTTGCACACAGTAGATGATAAATAAATATTAACTTATGAAACAGTGTAAATGCGTTCTTGGAAAAGGAGGCAAGAGGGAGTGTGGATGGGGGAAATCAAAGGACAATTATCATGGGATTTAAAGCTAGAAAAAAGGACCTTGGAGATCATCTAGATCAATTCCCTTCCTTTATTTTACAGAGGAGGAAACTGAGGCCCAGACAAGCCTAGTGACTTGCCCAAGTTGCTATTCAGCTAGTACCATCCAGCTAGTAACAGATATAACACTGGATCCTGGGTCCTCTATTCCCAAGTCAAGTATTCTTTCCAACTTCACCAAGCTCTCAAATGTTTCCCACGTATGTAGCCTCGAGGAACAGGGGCAAAAATAGAATTAGTCTTCAAGGACGACATATTATAGGTGATTATATTTTACTGCAGGCTCCATCCTATTTGAGTCCATTATGTTTCCTTACTATGGTCTACTCTTCCATTGAAAGAACAAACTCCTCTGAGGATAGAAATGATGGCAAAGAATAATTCATATTATTCCAGAGACTGTGCAACAGAGCTCTTGTCTCTCCCCTCTCCCCCCATACCACAATAAATTTTCGAAAATGAAAGAACTCTGGACTGGGAGTCAGAGGAACAGTTATTTTTCATCCTAGAGCGGCCATTAATGACCCTGGACAATTCATTCCCCTCTTGGAATCCTAACTTCCTACTCGGTCAAAAAAAAAATTTTTTTTGGGGGGGGGGAGATAAATGTTCCCAGCTTAGATCTCATAAAGCTGTTGTAAAGATTCAAGGAGATAATGGATGTGTGTTGTAATGGAAAATAGACAACCTGTCTCCCCGACCACTACCTAGGGCCAGATACCCCTGCTCTGCCCTATCCTTCTTCCAAGAGAGTTCTGACATCGTAATGGAATTTATTTGAGAAACAGCTTAATTGAGATTTTGAGGCAGAGGAAGGAAAGA